TTTTTCAGTTTTGCATACTCTGAATATATATGAACCAATTTGTTAGAATATTTCTCAATCATCATTGGTATCAAATGTTTCAAGCGCTGGCATTGGTGTTTGGTAATCAGATTATATAACATTTTTCCGGATTTTGGATCAGTGAAAATCAGAATACCCTTAAAGTTAGCAGGCCGAATTACAAAAATGTCGTAATTTAGGATACTTTTTGCAAATCATTTCAATAAATCTTTATTTTGCTTTTTCTGCAAAGGTTTGTATGGGCAATGGGCATATTCGAATCGAAAGGGACACTTTTTTTGATGTCTACATATTGTAGACAGGGGCCAGGCAATTAACTGTTGCTTTCCTGCTTTCCTGTGTAGTATTGACAACAGTGTTCAACATGAAGCCTTATCAAATTTTGATCTTTCCTTAACATTCTTGCTGTGAAATCATCACAGTTGTGAATAGCAAATATTTTTCCTTGTATGCTTTATTATCAGATACTGAATAACCTATTACACAGTTGTCTAATGTGACAGGATGATCGTTTTGATTCTGAATTAGCATAGGCAGGCTCTGCTCAGTTAGAGCGCAAACTGCATTTATGAAACCCAATTCGGTTTTGGATGTGATTTTATGAGGCAGGAAACTAGTCCCTTTTTCAAAGTAAGAATTTGGTTAGGCTTAGTGTTTGTATAAGTGTGTTGAGCGTGGTGGAATGTAAGAGGCGTTCTTTGAGGTTAATTGAAACAATTTTTGACACATTGGGATGTTCTTTATCGTTGTTCATTAACCCGTACGAAATTACACCTTCTTTTGATTTTAGTTCAACTGCGGGGATATCATAAAGTTCTTTGTTTGGATATTTTTAAAATAATCTTCTAAGGAAGGTCAACAAAAATTCTTTGCATCGTTTGAAAATTCGATTGCTATTTCATTTTGATTTTTGCACAATTTGACTAAATCTGATCCAATTCGTTCAAATAATTCTGATTCATTTGCGGTATCAAATATTTCAAGCGCTTGCATTTTTTATTTTCTTGTCCTGAATCATAGACGAAAATAGTAATTATAGAGCCTTGGAACACATCAACACTAAGTTTGGGAACTTCGTGTCAATCCGTTTTATCTAACCCACAAGCAATTTTGGGCCTTGCAATAGGTCAAATGCTATTTGATATAGCATGATCTTTCATTTCAGACAAGGGGCTGAAAATATTGTCGTAAATGTGTTTCTGAAAGTACCTGTGTTGGGTAATCAAAATATAATATGATTTTTCCGGATTTTGGATCAGTGAATATCAGAATGTCAGAATGTTAGCATATAGAATTACAAAAATGTTGTAATTCAGGGTACTTTTTGCAAATCATTTCAGCAAACCCTCTTTTTCATTGCTATTTCTGCAGAGATTGTAGAAGCAAGGGGCATATTCGATTCGAATACGGACCTTTTTTTGAAGTCTACTTATTGTAGACAGAGCCAGACAAATGAGTAATGCTTTGTGTTGTGTTGACAACAATATTCAGCATGAAGCAACTATCAAAATCTGAATTTTCGTTTAAAATTCTTGTTTTGAACTCATCACAGTGGTGAATAGCAAATTTTTATCCTCGTATCCCTGAATACCCTCCCTAAAAAACCTAGTAGACACTTGTTTAACGTGAACGGTTGATCTTTCTGATTCTCAATAAGGACAGTCAGGCTCTGCTCAATTTGAGTGCCAACTGTATTTATGAAAACCATTTCGGTTTTGGATGTAATTTTATGAGGCAGGAATCTAGTCCCTTTTTTAAAGTATGAATTTGGTTCGGCTTAGTGATGGTATAAGTATGTTGAGCGTGTTGGAATGCAAAAAAGGGGTTCTTTCAGGTTAACTGTGACAATTTATGACACATTGGAATATTCTTTATCGTTGTTCATTAACCTGTAGGAAATTACACCTTCTTTTGATTTTAACTCAACTGCGGGGACTTAAGTAAAGTGCTTTCAAGAATAGATGACAAAAGTCTACTCCCAATAGATTAGCAGTCTTTTCCTCAGTTACCCACACGTTGTCAATTTTGGCCAGAACTTGATTTTTTGTTTTGTTTATCCCAAAACCGATTGTTTTGGTTAGAAGTTTTTGGTTAGAAAAATTGTTTAATTGTAGATTTCTTTGATAATTGGTTTCAAATGAAACGTTTCGATCAACATTAGTTGTGAGTTCTTTTTGCAATCTTTTTACTTGTCTTGTACTTGTTTTTAAACATCTAGACATAGAATGACCATTCATTCTGCAATATTCACAAAACCGAGCACTATTAGGTCTTCCTCTGATGTCATGGCGACGTCGCTGGAATGAATTTTGGTCACTGATTGCACTAATTTCTTGATTCTTTATCAATTTGGTTAATTCTTTATTTTGAGTTTCTAATGAAGTCAGTTTATTGGTTGTTGAATTGTTAGCAGGATCAAGAGCAAAATTTTGTTGTTAGATTCCTTGTGAGTGAATGACTAGTGAATTGATCCCAAACTGAGTTTGGATGCCATATCATGTGTTCATGAACTTTTTGTGTGAGCGCTAAAGGTCTCAATTCCTTAATTGAGAAAACATTAATTTTTTTGACTTCTTTGTCTGCTCTATAAATTTCAATCAACAGCTTGAGCCGCAGCAGCATCAGCGTAGACTATTACATCGATACTTTCTGGTCATCCTCTGTCTACAGAAAACTTGATTCTGTAGAAGTAATTTTTCTTATCAATTCGCCATTTTGGCGAGCTGCATTCTCCTCATCAATTCTATGGTTGATTTGATCTCGATCATCAGTGAATCTGTCCAGAAATTGATTTCGAGTTGCGCCAATGTGGTAGCATTGGTTACATTATCATTCGACCATTATTCAAAGGCTGTACCGTTAACAATCATCCAAATAGGGATCTTTTTCTGCCATCATAGCTACGTCGTGCGTCGACATCAGTAGGTTTTTGACCTAATGAGAAAATAACTTTGTTTTCAACGGAAATCCGGAATGCTGTAGCACTTTAGACCGGTTCGTTTCCCAAAAATGTCATTAGAGACAAGTTGGGATGGTATATTGATTTATCAGTCATATTAAATTTAACTTAATAAAAAACCTATCAAAGAAGAAAAGTAGAAAAGATTATAAATTTTATTTAAGACGATTTAAAGCTCCGATTTGGAATTTTAATAACTTTCTTAAATCTAAGAGACTTTTCGACGTTTTAGAATTGGATTCTTTGCTTTTTTTATTTTTTTTTTGAGGTTTTAGCAATTTTAGCGAAAATTTAGAAGGTCAGCCTCAGTGGTCGCAGCATTTTATCACGTTATTAATATATATATATGTACGTCGGACAAAACGCTTGCGAGTAATATAGGGTCATTTCTACTTTCTATCTTAGAAATTAATTCTAAAATTCGCTGGGAAAACATTTTATTAGAAAAGAAAATAGTATGAATTTACTGCAAGTTGCCTTTACACTCGATATTTATTTTAAGGGTTGGATTTGAGATATTTTGACTGAGAATGCTTGATGTTTTTAGAGAGAGAGAGAGAGAGAGAGAGAGAGAGAGAGAGATTGGTGTGTTGTAAGAAAAAAGTTTATGATGAATATCAGTAGTTTTCAGCTTCTGTTTTTTACCTCATTGGGAAACCTCCCAAATTGTCGTAGCAATTAAGAAGTTAATTTTTTAACTTCGTGATCTCTTGTGAATATTATTCGTGCATTCGTATTTTACGAGAAGTGTCGTTCGTGCATTCGTATCCTACGAGAAGAGTCATTATTATTCGTATTTCACGAGAAGAGGCGTTTTAATTTCCAATGCTTAAAACGTTATACGAATTATGCCAAATATTTTTCAATCATTTTACAAAGAGATATAAACAGATTGACTTTATGGTGGCGGCGGCGTTACGCTTTTTGAGAACAATAAGTTCTATGTTTCTGATCTGTTTCAATATGAAATCAGAACATAACGTCAGAAATTAAAGTTATAAAATGCAACTATGAAATTATTTTTAGTAGAGGTTCTTTAAAATTTGTTTCAATGAGCTAGCTCATCGATCTCAAAAAAGCATTTTCTTTAAATAAGAGTGCAAAAAAATCAATGATCGAAACTTAATTGGTAACTTTATAAGCCTCAAGTTAGCAACAAAGATCTGTTAACAATCTCCATTTAGAATAAAAATCAATCATTAGCGATGTGCAAAGTAGACTACGTGTTTTGACATTCTCTGGCCTAGCTTCAGTTTTTTCCAGATTTGATCAGATAATGATTTTGAATTGCAAACATCTAGCCAACATATTCCTGATTACTTTACGAAAGTATAACAGCGACTAGTAGCATCTGAAAAAACAGTCGCTTTCAAAAGATTTGCAGGTTTATCTTTTTTTATATCTCACGCATTTCTGTTTTTTCAAAACAAAAGGCCAATAGATAATATCAGGGAAAACAAAATGTAAATAGCAAATAACATTTTAGGTCAAAACATGTTCAAATAATGAGGCACTGCTGCGACTGCTTAGATAAGTTTTGACTTTGCTGAACGTTTTTTCGGAACACTGGACAAGAATTTAGCGCATGCTCTTTCGTCTGGTAATTTTTTGATGAAAATCAGTCAGCAGATTATATCATGCTTGTAATTCTAACAGTTTGCAAGAATGAGGGTTGACTAAAGTTTGAAACATCATTGTCAATTTCAGAGATGAAGTCTCTGTCACTAAAACTAAATTCTGATATCCACCAATTTTTTGAATTAAAAAGGTATTTCGAGAAGTTTTAATGAAAGTTGATCGTGCGAGAAACGGTCTTATTTGCCGGCAAAAAAACTTCATTCAACCACACAGCTTATAATTTATATCAGTTATGCAAAACGCAAAACAGGTATAAAGCCTCAGTTAGAATTCATGCAACACGTGGAAGCAATTTTTCGCTAAATTTTTAATTCCTGTGCTCTTAGTATGAAGAATGACCTTTTAATTTTTGATCAAACTCTGATCTGTGATGACGTCTTACCTGGTCCACTAGGTTTTCCAGACTCTGTATCGGAGTGTCCAGTCGGGTGATGGTGAGAAAGGCGGCCAGATTGGCAGTGTAGGTGGCCACCATGATGAGGGTGAAAAAGTACCAGAACATGGCCAACACCCGCCCACTCAGAGTCCGCGGTTGGTCTTCCGGGCCTACAAGCACATTTCGTCATGATAACAAAAAAAAACAGATTCAGTCGGACCTGGGCTGGAGTGTCGAATTAAATTTCAAGCAACTCAATCAAAGACACCGTTTTGGGAAACAAAACCGAACCTTTCCAGCAATTCAACCAATATTGACAGTGATTCGCACTCGCTTCAGCAGAGGTACAGTATGATTTGATGAATAAAAAACAAAAATATATCATTGTTACTGCCAAACAGATTACTACTGCACGTATAGATCCTCCGAAGTCACCTCCCAATGCCCTGGTTGCCTCTATGAATTGTATAATGAATATTTGCATGCAATAATTTGTATGGTTTGTAACGGAAATAAAAATGCGAAACCAAATATATTAATATTTTTAATAATTTTTTTTGTGTCTAACTAACCATACTAACGGCTCTGGTTCACAGCTGAACAGCACTGGTAAAATTTGACGAGATTGCAAAATGAGGTTTGATAGGTTTGAAAAATATGAAATCATGAGCCAGATTCTTCAACGAGTGTGGAACGTCACAAAATTTACAAAACAAAAACTCGAAAAAACCTTCAAACAAAATCACATATAAAGCTGACTTTTTGTCTTAAATGAAAAAAAAATGTTTTTGTGCCATTATTGAAGTGCTGTGAAAAACTTTTTTCGGTATTCAAATACAAGGTTATAGCACCAAAAATGATCAAACATTTTTAACAACAAAAAGCTATTTTTTTTGTAGTTATTTCCATGTCAAGCCTAACTACTCGGTAGTACAAAAATAGATAAACCACTTGAATTTTCGAATTTTCAAGATTTAAAAAAAAATGTTTTGATGTAAATCGTAATTAACGAAAAAAAAACCAAAACGAACCATTTTGAGGTAAGTTTGGGGCGAATTTTTAAATTTAAACAGCATCATGTTAGTTTTGGTGAAACTTTAAGCAGCTTTTGTTCTCTTCATTTTTGTCTAACCTCAACTCAATTTGAGAAAAAAAAGCATAAATTTTTGGCTCAACCGTACAATCCCCCCCCCCCCCCCGATAAGTGACCTACCGTAGAATGCCCTCCCCATGTATGTATGAATTCCAAAAATATGCTGTATAAATCATGCATTTTGTACAAACGATCAATTAGTATGATTTTTCCACTTTTGTTGTAGAATTGCATGTGTTTGCTGTTCATTACACAAATTAATGTTTTGTCTCATTTTTTTGAGTAATATAGTTGATTGTGAAAAATTCTAGACTATACTCAAAGTCAGCTTTTGAAAAATCTATTTTACCCTCCTCCCTGAAGAAGTTTTGCAAAGTTGTTTCTCGTGTCTGGTTAATATAAATCAAAACTGTAATTTATGTGACTGAATTTTGAAGCTATTCTAAACCAAGAATGTCAAAATTTCTAACCAGTGATTTGCTTCCGTTACAAGGTTATGATTTTTACCAATTGGGGTCATTGTGGTTTGTTATATGCGCCTTTGTTCTATTTTTTATGGCGGCAATATAAAGACTCGCCAATTTTTGCGAATTAAACAGAGTCGAGATAATTTTCATTTGAATCTTTTTTGGCACTAAGTATAGCAAAAGATATCTCTACGTATTTTGACTTGAAAAAAAAAACAATTATTGAAATGTTGTTTTTTGCAGACGCGCTATGGGCAGTCGGAAATGAAGACTTTGCAGTGTTACGAGATTTATTGTTTGGCTATTCAAGCAAAAGCCGTTCGATTGTCTTTTTTGTAATTCATTTCATTTCAAGACTTCGCTTCTCAGTAAAAGAAAAATGGAAAAATCAAACGGAATGAACTTTCAAACCTCCTTGATTTTCCAGCAAAGTATTGATGTGATACTTGATTTGTTAAAAAAGCCAGAATGACGCGTTTTTGAGGTAAAATTTTGGTTGCGAATGTTGAAAATTTTTTTTCCAATATTAGTTTTGGTAAACTTTTCTCCTTCATTTTTTTTCTCCTTCATTTTTTGTTTTATCTCAACCCAATCAGAAAAAAACGCGTTGAATTGTTTGGAATGCACTCCACGGACACGTATTAAAAACAAAAACTAAATCTCTATAAAAATGCATTTAATACAAACGCGCAAATAAACTTGATTTATAGATTTTTGATGCGGGATTGCAAGTGTAGGCTGTTTATTACACAAATCAATGTTTTAATTCAATTTTTTTTAGCAATGCGGTTAATTTTAACTAATCTAGACTATACTCAAAGGTAGCATATGAAAAATCTATATTTCTCCCCATCCCTCCTACATTGGTTTGGGGGCGGGGATTGTACAATTGATCCAAACTCTCCATTTTTGTTTGTTGTGTCCGTTTAATTTAAGTCACCACTGTAGTATATGTGAAAGAGTTTCAAAACTATTTTACACAATAGATGTCAAAGCTTCTGAGGGAAAGATATCCAAGCAAAGGATATCACTATGTATTTTGACACAAAAAAAACGTTGTCGGAATTTCGGTTTATGTAGACACGCTAAATGCACTCGGAAATTGAAGACTCTGCAGTGACACGAGATTTATTGCTCGGCTGTTCAAACAAAAACCGTTCGATTGATTTTTCTGGGTGGTGAAAAATAAACCCTTGAAAAAGAGCGAGGAATTTGGAGTTCATAACAACCCTATTTAAAATCAGCATAAGCGCTGTGCATACAACCAACAATCTATCTATTTGCTGGTAAATAGCAAACGAATGCGATCTATGCAGAAATATGTTTGAACACCAGCGGATTTAAATGGGGGAAGGCGGGGGAGGGGGGCGGCAGACGCTTCTTTTCCTCAAGAATTCCCCTCGCTTCTTTCCCCCTTTGTACTATTTTAAGATATCCAGCTTTGGCTGGCGGAATCAAAATTTTTTTCTGAACGCCTTTTTTGTCCTGTGTTTAAAACATTTCGACTGCGGCGCAGAAAATTTGGTCCAAATATGGTCTTTTTAGTGATTTGTGAGAGCTCGGAAAATCAATTTGGTCGACCTACAAAAAAAGGTTGATAAAATTTCCAAAGTGGTTGGAGCAGTAAAAACCATCAGGAAATACAGGTTATCTTCTTCAATTGTTTTGACATTTTCCACATGAACCCAGGAAAATCTAAGTTTGACGATGAAAGTCAAGGAAAAAAAATTGTTATCGTGTCATACCTAGAGGTAAATTTTATAGCCGCTTTGTGTGAAATATGTCGCCTTTTAAAATGTAATCAATGCCAGCAAAGTGCTTGAACAAATTTGTAAAAAACACAAATAAGATTGATGGCCATAGAATTAACCCGGGTTAATTCGCAAGTACCCGGTCAAAAAAGCAAAAAAGGAGCCAATTCTCCATTCTTATTTGAATGTACTTTTAACTTATCTCAAGAACATGAACAACGCCTATTTCAGAAAAAAAAACAATTTTGAAAAACGTCCAGATATTTTGCATTTTGAGTTTTCTTTGTTGGCCGCAATCTTGTGGCCAGGAAATGGCCTGATGATTCTCTCTTCTATACATCCTTGTTCTATTAAAGTATAAAAACGTCCTGCTGTTTTTCCGGCGTGTTTAACATCAGTCTGAAATACGATTGCAGAGACTTTAGAACATTATATACACCAACAAGACTGCTTGTATATCAAGGCAAAGCCCTGAATGTTCCGAATCCATATCGAATAGAGTTTTGGGAAAAAAATTGAAAAACTATAAACTTTGGACAAAATCAAAGATCAAGTGTAAAAGTTTGAGTCGTACGAAAATATTACGACAATTAGCTAGCCTAAATTCAACTTGGATCGTCTTTGTTGTGCGGGATAATTCACCATGCATAAATAGTTCGCGTTACCTTTTTAGGCTTACAAATAAAATCTTCACAGTGCGCATAAATTAGTCCAGAGCAATGTCAACTTGTAGGCAGTTTTCATACTCCGGAAACTTTGCAAAAAATGATCAGAGGAAAAATTTTATTTCAATTTGATTTCAGGGAGTCGATATAACTTGAAAATTTGTGTTGAAAGTTTTATTCCGATCGCCGAAAATTGGCTGAATAAAAAAATAACCACAACACGTTCCGCAAGTTGGAACAATAATCTTGTACGCTTAATCTGATTTCACGTAGAGAAAACTCTTTTGTTTCGTGTCCGGATGTTTCTTACCCAGACAATTGTGTCCCAGAAACAAAATCTAGAAGAAAATCTACTGAAAAAAACTACTGAAAAATACCAAGACAAAACAGGCCAAAGCAATTGTTATCTGAAGCTGTCCGCCTGTAAATAGCGATGATTTTGGTAGATTTTGTGTTTAAGCATTTGGTGGCCGTATTTGAGCAATTTTAATTAACGTAGTTTTGATAGAACATAACAAGACTGCTCGTATCAGGGCGAAGCCCTGAATGTTCCGACTGCCTTTTAAGGTTTATGGAGCAGTAATAACAATTAAAAAAATGAAATGCAATAAAATAAGATGATTTTTTTTCTAAAATTTTAAATTTTATATGAAAATCTCTCCCCCCCCCCGACACTCCATATAAAGTACCAAAGAATAGATTTCGCTCCTTGTAACAAATCAATTATGGCAAATAAGCTTCTTTCAACCATCAACTTGGAACGATAAAACCCACCCCGAGCACAAATATTCCGTTACTTTCGTATCGAAAGTCGGAACAATAAAAAGAAATGGGGAAATCTTAGCTAGGATACTAGTTTATAGGAAACTGTTGCAGACTACTTCATCAAGAGCATAAACAGAAGCAAAATTGAAATTCACACCATTGTGATATATCAAAACATAAATGAATTGAAGAAGAAAGAAGTCGAGAAGGGCATCTGTGGTTTTTAGCCAAGCACAATAAGAAATTTACAGAGCGGCACCCTAGTCGACATTACTTGAATATAAGATTGTAGGTACAAAAAAATCTTGGGACATAAGCAATCTGAAAATTGAAGATTATACGTTTTCCTCAACATGAAAATGGGGCTACAAAGATGATATGATATAAACTTTAGAAAAACAAATTCAAATAGGAACTTAGAACAAAATA